CTTAGCACCTTTTCATCGGAATCGAAGGAGATCACCTCGGAAACAGCGTCAGATAGAATTTTCCAGTAAAGCCAATTGACAGCTGGTCAAGAGGAATTTGCCTTCGTCTTTTGGTGGAACCGACCTTCAAATCTCTTTACCCAGCACTTTCATTCGAAATGGAAGTAAGCTCAACAATTATGAAACAAGAGATTCTTCGAAACTCAACTTTTCTTAGCATATAAATGGCAAGCACTTTTAACGACAAGGAGCTATCATGGCTTTCTCTTATCTCTCACAGTTCCCAATTCACTTTTCCTGTTTGGCTTGCCTGGCAACTTAGCTTTATTGTTTTTCCAAACTATATGCCATTTTAGATCAACTCTTTACTCAACTCACTCTTCTTCATGGACTGTGAAGATCTCGGAACGGTGGATTACATGAAATGGCACAAAATGCTGTTGCGCTACTGCCAGCCACAGCGGATCCTCAACTCCGTCATGAATAGACATGCATTCATCTTCTACATCAACCCAACGGAGTACCTTAAACAAGAGCAAGTTGAAAAATTTGTTGGTATTTCTTCTTCACAGACTCTCGGTGCACTTCAAACCAAACCTGGGGGATGTGAAGCTCATTAATGGTCTGGACGAATTTCACTTCCACTCATGCTTTCATGACTGCCGTAGTAAAAGAATAAAATTCACTGTTCACCATACTTAACCCAAATTGACCCCATAGCAATTTTGGCATTAATATTGACACGAAAAGAAAAAAAGACGGGATACCATTTAAGGATGGATGGAAAACTCTAGTATTGGGGAGTTTTTAGATAGTGCCTTGAAGTAATGAAATCACATTTATGAGAAGAGAAACAGCTCTGATCTTCCGTTTAGGATGGCTAGATTCTAGTGAAGATGAAACTCGTTTCCGAAAAATGTTCTCTTCTTCGTCCCCTCAGTCTCACGAAAGGGATTAGAACAAAGTACGTGTGGGATTGCACCATACATTCGTGGCAAAAGAGGCATTTTCAGTCCATCTTCGACCGTATTTGCTTACATTGCTGGTATTGAGACGAATGTGTTACCTTATTGCCAAGGTCTCATTAGAAATATAAATGATTATGTCAGTCCTGGATACGTCGTGAACCCGTATTTCCTTGGTTTGATCCCAAGCGTTGACGTCGATTGAGACATAAGAGAAGTTAAACTTGTGCTTCGGTTAAAATAAGTCCAGTCTTATTTGTTAGCGCTGTCAAACCTTTGTTAAATTATAATGTTGGCGGAATGACTATCCATCAATACAACCTCAAAATCCTATTAATGAACGAAAAATATAACGGTATTGGTGAATACTGCGTAGTCAGATAAAGAAGAGTTCTTTGATAGAAATTTAAAAAATCTTCTACTTTTATTGAATAGTTTATGATAGTATGTATACATCTTAAATAAGAGCTTTGTATACCCTATGTCGCATGATGCTTCACGATACCATAATGTAAGAAATAAGGTGAATGCAACTCATAAATCTGATTTACTGGTAGTCTCGAATACCTACTCAGTAACGAAAAAAGTAATGTCGTCGCTTGCTATAGCAAATATAAGTTTGCTTCAACGACAATCCCAGCACAAAATGTGATATGAGAAAAAGCCTGACATTCCTTGAAATTCAACTCGGTCCTGTAACCCAAAAATATTTGTGGCAATGTGTCGTAGCGGGTAACGTGTCGAGCTTATACGCGGCACCTCCATGGTTCGACTCCCGCTTCAGGTGTTGATAAGACCTATGCGAGATAGAAACTGCAGTCTACTCTGAATGATAACAACTTTTGGGAAAGCAAGGCTATATGAAATTCAATGGAATCATCAGCTCTATTAATACCATGGTGCGAAACTTCTACTACCAGTGCTTAATCACCTTAAACGAAATAGGGTGAATAAATCTCATATTACTGATTTACTAACATTTATTACTAATATTTTTTTAATACTACTAATAATGATATAAATTATTAGCATAGTACTAATTATAATTTTAGTAATATACGGCTACTCCTGATACTGTGAATACTGCTACCTATTTGGTTGTCTACTGTTTTGGCTTATTCTTATTTTGTGCTATTATTTTTAATGCCTCTACCCAAACGTACACGACAGGACAACCCATAGCTTCATCTAAGTAGGGCCCCAGTAACGAATTGTAGTTTCCTAATGCCCTCTGAAGAATCCGTAAATTGAAGCTTAAGCAATCGCATTATTTCTAACTTCTAGCAACGTCCCAGGTCGCATTGTCCATAAAAATCATTCTTCTTTCTTGTTCCTCCGCATGACAGTCGGCACTTGGTATCTAAAGATAGGCGGAGGATCCATGAATGCTACAACGAGATAGCCCTTGTCCTGAACAGCAGACCGTCACAGAGTAAGATGGAGGAAAAACTCTCAAAAATGTATACGGTAGGCTAATATTTTCCATCAAAAAGAATGCATTTTAGGCAGTTTTATGTGACTAGTCGATTTAAGAGTAGTTTGACAATTTTATTTAACATTCTTACCTTAAAATGCCCGAACATGCTATAAGAAACAAGGTCTAATTTGGAGGAACTCACGTTCATCTATTTTTATCTTATTTTGTGTTAAAGCAATAAATAGCCTTGACCAAATATAGATTAGGAATTGTAATCCCAAGGCCTACTTATCAATAGTATTAAAAAATCGCTCATGCTTTCTGTCAACCTGTTCTCTTGAATAAAACTAGCCTTTATTGTGTAAAAAGATTGTAATTAAGTCTAACATTTGCTTTGGTATAAAGGTCAGACTTTGGCCTTGGGCTGAAACCCATCAGACCGTCTGATGACGCTTAAGGTGAAGTTGAAACCGCATTCCAACCCAAATATTTGTAAGACGTGATGAATTAAAATTAATGCCACAATCGAGTATTCAAAATTCCGGTAGCTCAGACTTTTTCTATTGTTGCTGAGATTTACAAGAGACAAATAATCTGAGCGACGATTTGCTCTAGACTGAATCATTCAATACCGAGCTCTTGGATGAAATTTCACACAGCCGATGTCACATTCACTGCATTGCTTGTGTTCATAGTGAAGATTGTATTGATCTTCGGAATATTTGGGTTCTGAGACTCTCAATCATTCTTGAAT